TTTTCTAACTTTAGGACAATCTGGTCTGATAAAGAGAACATTTATATACATGTTTAAGCCAGAATGATTTGACATTTAAATTTGATTTCCCTTCGACTTTAATGAGACTTTATAGACCATCTGCTGCCTTCAGGACCTCCATCTTGCTTCAATAATGGAAAACCACCTTCCTAAAATCTGGCTGGTCTGTCCCTGAAAGAGTTCAGATATCAGCCGTGGGACAAGAAGGAGGCGTTAAAATGCAGGGAGGAATAGTCCATATAGAGCGATATGTCCTCAGAAAGAGCAAAAGACAGGAGTGAGTGTTTGCTGAAACTCTCTGACTACCGAGGAGTTTGATGCAGAGATTGTTTTATCTTTGTGTAAAGCAGGTCCCTCTGTTCACGGAGTTGTCCTGATCTTGTCCTCCATGTCCATCCTCTGCAGTGTCTCAGTGCCACGGCGGCTGTGCCGAGGTGGACTCTCAGACCGAAGCTGTGGCAGGAGAAGGATTCCTGCTCGGCTGCATTTCCTGTAAGAGGAGAGAGGAGGTCTCTGCCAGAGCGACTGTAGACTGGCACTTCAAGCCTCTGGAAGAGGATGAGTTCAGACATGTGAGTCAGAAAACAAACCTGGAAATCTGGGCCTGTTTGTCCCAAAGAACGCTCCCATTAACATGTTACCAAACTGCCATGTTTACAGTCTTAGTCTATTGCCTGACTCCATAGGACAGAATTATTCATCTGTGGCTTGATGTGAAACTCGACATTTTCTCATCGTACGAACGCCGTTTACCACCGAATCGCTTCCTCCATCAGCGACTTATTAGCAGAGGAGTCAAGTAACGAAGTACAAATACTTTATTACTTAAGTACGCTTTTTTATTTTTCTTCCTACTTCTGACTTCTACTCATTACATTTTCACACAGTATCTGTATTTTCTATTCCTTACATTTTTAAATCAATCGTTCCTCGTTACTCTTGTCTTCGGTTTAATGCAGAGGTCACGGATTAGCGGACCGCGGTCCGGATCCGGATCCACCTGCTGGCTAATCTGGACCCAACCTGATTTAAAACATTTACAGATTTACATGACATAGTCTCCAATAGTTTGCATCCAATCTTTGAAATAAACGCTGTTAGTTTATTGAAATGTAGAAGAATTATAGTTACTGATCTGTTG